CGTACACTTGTCGGTTTAGATCGACTAGTGTATGCATAGACTTTTTCATGAGTTTTATGTTTAGGTTTTTAATAATAATATACTAACATCTGTAAGTTTATACTAACATAATGATGGATTATTTTATCTGAACAAATAAAATAAATTGCAGTTTTGATTATGATGAAATATAGAAATTATGAAATATGTATTCCTATTTATTTATATTATATATTTGTATGGAACTACATCTTTTAACTTTTTTTTAATTAGAGTTAAAAATTAACGCCAATCTCGAAAACAAACGTTATGGTTCATCTTTAGTTGTCGTTATTATGGCCCTTTCGGAGGGCGATTAAGAAAATATTGAAACACTAAATGCTTTTACAAAGTGCAAATAAAAAGTTAGAAACTCGTTATGTCAAATAATCGAATCGAAAGTTAATAAATTCGATTATCGGGCGATCGAGTGACAAAAATGGTGCGTGCAATCCTGCGCACGATTGATTGGAATCCAATGAAGTCATCTAAGTAGAATTTCTAATAGCGAATTCCATTTCGTTGGCAGCCAAGCGAGATCAGTTATCTAAACTATTTCGTATTGTCTCACGTATGTTATACGAAACATATGTTCGATATCTGTTATAAGATTGTTCCATTCTTTAAAAATTATTATTTAAATATTATTAAGGCAAATAAAAAAACGACGTCGCCGTTCCACTTAGCGTTTTTTTAGACAGTATGCCGCGCACCACCACTATGTGGAACCAGCTGCCCAGTGCCCACTAAAGTATTTCCGAACCAATTCGACTTAGGGTCCTTCAAGAAAAGAGCGTACTAATAAAGTACTCTCGCATTTTTTCTTTCTTTCTTTTGTAAAAGGTTACGATGCGGGGCGGGGACTGAATTACGCGTTATTGTTAATATTATTTTCGACTTACACCACATAATAGTAACTAAAGAGACACAAGGTGGTCACGAAACGTTTTACTATACTTGAGTACAATACTGTACTAGGGTACTGAAAAACGTTACGGCGAGATACATGGGGCGGGGTCAATAATCTCCAAAAATTGCTCCCTTATTACCTACCTGATTTGAGCCATAACCAAACAGAAGCATATTTTTTCTATATATTATTGGCGTATATACGGTAGGTATTTTGAATTATTGAGCTGTTACAAATTGCGATCGTTGCATTCCACACATAACTGTTGTTTGCAACCTACATTTGGAAACCGTAACGTCTCAATGTGAGAGCGCGCAAAATTCATCATAACGTTATTAATATTATGTGTAAGAAGTAGACATGGGAAGAATTTGGCTGTGCCAAAAATCAATCTGGAACTGTTTCGGAAAAACAGCTTTTGTATGGCAATAAAAGTCTACAATAAATTACCAAAAGAATTAAAAGATCTTCCGTCTAGATTCTTTAAAAAGCGACTTAGTGAATTACTTTTAGATAAAATTTACTATTCAATAAATGATTATTTGCATGAAACACTGTAATTAATATAAAGTTAATGATGTAATGTATATAATATAATAGACTAGATAATATAAGAATTGACTTTGAATAATATTGTAAAATTCTTTAAGACAAATTTGCGCGCCATCGTGTGTGGCAGAATATGCGAACGATTTATGATTGTATCACCTTAGCATTTGTACCATATTCTTGCAATAAATAAATTATTATTATTATAATTATAGAGGGAACTTTTTAAAACATTTTAATGAAAAATGCCAGATTTTAATTATCACACAGTTCAAAATCTTGTATAAGCTTTTTTAAGACCCTTTAATCATTTCTATGTTTCTCAATTTGACTGTATATACTTTAATTGTGTTCGCGGATAACTTCGTCGGAAGGGAGATATCCAAATGATGGCAATCTGTTCCGAATCTTCGAAAAACTGTGTAAAATAAAAAAAAATATGAAAGATATCTAAGACAATTTTATTTAAAACGTTTATATTTTAAACTACCACGCTTATGTATAACTCAAACTCAAAATATCTTTATTCATATAGGTGAACAAGTACACTTATGAACGTCAAAAAAAAAGTTAAAACAATTGTAAATTTACATTTACTACCAGTTCGCAAGTCAAGGGCGTAGAGCGGGCAAGAAGAACTGGCAAGAAACTTTCCGCCACTCTTTTTAATATTTCAAGCCCCAAGTAATAAGGGGTGTCCACTGTCCACCACAATTTTTATTTTTTATCATGTGGCATTAAAAAATACATACAACCCTTAATTTTCATCCCTCTACGAATAACCCCTATTTTTTTATTATAGTAGATAAAATCCTAGAAATAATATACATGGCAAAACAACGCTTGCCGGGTCAGCTAGTAATTATACCTACAAAAATAAATAAATAAATCAGTGGCGCTACAACCCCTTTAGGTCTTGGCATCAGATTTCTGAATCTGTTTCATGATCAGTTTTAAATCTAATAGGCAAGTAGGTGATTAGCCTCCAGTGCCTGACACACGACGTCGACTTTTTGGGTCTAAGACATGTCGGTTTCCTCACCATGATTTTTTTTAAATATACAACACCTATTTCAAAAATTCATAATTGTCTTAAACAAACTGTTGCCAGCGACATTTGCTATCGGATGGCTCAGTGGCACGTTGGCTGGCCAAATTCCTAAGCGCTTTCTCTCGCAGCTTGACAGGCGCATGCTCGCACGCAAACCAACGAAAGTAAATCGGCGTGCGCCTGCGCAGCTGTCACGTTGCATAATTATATGTGATCAACGCGTTGTTTGTAAACAATTAAGATCCTAAACGTGCCGTGGTCGAATTGATTCGAAGGAAGTAAAAATTAATAAGACAAAAACATTCGTAACTTTAAAATAAAATTTTAATTATTATTACAAATTTAAGATATTACATTTTTATTGTGATTATAAAATAAATATTTCTTTACAATTTTGTGAATATCTTTTCATCACAGCGACAACACAAATAGAAAGAAAGAGGTTAAATAGGCCAATATATGAGCGGATTATTCAAATAATGGGGCAAAAGTCTAATTTTTCCGGTGGAATGCGGAGTATTTTAATTTTCCAAGTATTTAACCTACACGGATTCGTACTAGAATGTGAAGATAATCTTCGAACTTGTTTCAAAGTATGCGGAAAATGTACGACTATTTTGTTATTGTGAAGTTGTTCACACACACACACGAATCTATTCGATACATATATGTATTTATTTGTTTATAGAACAGGGGGAAAACGGGCAGGCTCATCTGATGTTAAGTGATACCACTGCCAATCGACACTCAATGCCAGAGGACTCGCGAGTGCGTTGCCGGCTTTTTAAGATTTGATATGGTCTCGAAGGTTCCTAAGTCGAATTGATTCGGCAGCAGCTTCAACAGGCAGCAGGTTCCATAGGGGTGGCGCGCGGTACTGCATTAAAAACGCTCAGCTCTGGAGCTGCAGGTATTAAGTCAAACAACTCTTCTGAACACTCCCAGTAACGCGGTAGAAGATGCAGAGTTAACCCACATCTCTAAGACTTAGTGCTAAGTGTGATTACCGTAGGACAAAAATGTATGGGATTTTGTTATACAAAAATAGTTCTCGTTTCTGAAAATCTTGAAGAGAATGGCCTAACTCAAAGCATTGTTTATTAAACTTATAAAAACCCAGGAAGACTCGGTTGAGCGACGACGGAAAAACTAAACTATTTACCTAGAATAGAATTTTAAACAGAATGTTATTCGATTGTTCCGTAAATTACTTTAGTGATAAAATATCGATTAAAAGATTTGTTTTGTTCACAGACTTTTTATGTACCTACTCTTTAGTATTCAAGTATTTATATGTCGCAGTCAACTAGCTTTATTAGCCGTTCAAACTAGCCTTTTAACTAAACAGCCGTTTAACTAGCGGCCTGAAAGATATTTAGCCGTATCGATTGTAACATTTAATAAAAAATAAAATTAAATAAATAAATCAGTGGCGCTACAACCTCTTTAGGTCTTGGCCTCAGATTTCTGAATCTGTTTCATGATCATTTTTAATCTAATAGGCAAGTAGGTGATCAGCCTCCAGTGTCTGACACACGCCGTCGACTTGTTGGGTCTAAGACATGTCGGTTTCCTCACCATGATTTCCTTCACCGTTCGAGCAAATGTTAAATGCGCACATAGAAAGAAAGTCCATTGGTGCACAGCCGGGGATCAAACCTACGACCTCAGGTATGACAGTCGCACGCTGAAGCCACTAAGCCAACACTGCTCTCAACATTTAATAAACTGGCTATTAAATATTTATATTTCCTCATAATTACGCAGTTAGTTTAATTTTAATGACCTTACGTTCATAATTTAAAATAAAATGAAGAGTAAAAATATAAAAATCGCGCCAAGTATATTTTTTTGTATTTATTATTGGGTTTATTACAATCAAATATATAGTATTTAGAATTTTCTTAACCTTCATAGTAATAATAAAACTAATTAAAAAGAAAATAAAACATATTTAAAAAATTTGGTCCCTGTGGCAGTGTACAATTAACGCTTGCAGCAATTATTAATTTCCAACAAGAATTCCGTATATGTATGTAATCTAATATATAAAATTCTCGTGTCTCAATGTTCGTTCATACTCCTCCGAAACGGCTCGACCGATTCTTATGAAATTTTTTATGCATATTCAGTACGTCTGGGACTCGGGTGGTCCCACAAACCCACAAATTTTTAATTTAAATTTTTAAACAAAAGTTTTTGTTTTTAGTTTTTTATATAACAGCATACAAAAATACATATAACCCTTAATTGTCACCCCACTACGATCAACCCCTATTTTTTATTATACTTAGTAGATAGTTATTTTTATTGACTAAAAAATGTTTCCTAGAAATAATATACATGACAAAACGACGTTTGCCGCTTCAGCTAGTATTTTTCAGACAAATTTTTCAAATCGCTCAAGGCGACGGGTAATGACGATGTTTTACTCCTAATTTCAAGTCGGTTATGAGAGCATAGACAACTAAGTCAGCTGTGAGTGGCGAGGAATGCGACCCGCCCACAAGGCCAAATGCCATCTAACATATGGACAGTGTCCCAGCCGGCATACCGATACACTGTAATCATTTTGTCTGCTTTGATGGCGACTAATTCAAATTGTTTATATGCATTAGATTTCGGGTGCTTGTAGAAAATCTAATATTACTGAACATTTTTCGTTCGTACTTAAGTTTGTATCAAGGGTGTGTATTTATTTTGTAGGTAAAATAAAAATTACCCTACAAATAATAAGAATGTTTGACAATTAACCTAAGATAATTAAAGCGCATTTAAAATACTTCTTTTATTTATAATCGACTCTGATTTTACTTTATATTAGGTACTGCTTAATATATTATAAATAAACTAAAAGTATAGAAAAAAAACATTACACCACAGTACACATTTTAAATTCCTTATAAACTAAAGAGTTAAAAAAATACAAACAATACAAAAAAACAGTGAAAAGAAACGTATTTTAGTTTAAATTTGGAATAAATTAAAAAAGGTTTAATTTTTAAAATTTGAATACAGTACAATAAATATACTGGCTTAGAATTCATTTTTAAATTTCGAATGCAGTACAATAAATATACTGGCTGATATTTCATTTTTAAATTTTAAATGCTGTACAATGAATATACTGGCTTAGGTTTAATTTTTAAATTTCGAATACAGATTAATAAGTACTCACCGAAGCCGTCTGAATCACTCGCCGGGTATGCGGGACACGGTTGCACCATCGTCGCAGCTCGCGATAACACGTCCAACGCAGATTCCACCTTTTCCATTTTCACTGAAATTCAAAATATAATTATTAAATAAGTTTTGAGCAGTGTTGGAATAGTGGCTTCAGCGTGCTCTCATATCTGGTCGTAGGTTCGATACCCGGCTATGCACCAATTGACTTTCTTTCTATGTGTGCATTTAACATTTGCTCGAACGGTGAAGGAAACATCGTGAGGAAACCGACATTAGTCTCAAAAAGTAGATGGAGTGTGTCAGGCACTGGAGGCTGATCACCTACTTGCCGCAGAAATCTGAGGCCAAGACCTAAAGAGGTTGTAGCGCCACTGATTTTTTTTAATAAGTTTATTACTATATAACTAATATCACCTCCACGTTTGTCCATTCACAAGGTATAAACCTCGATTCGATTTTTGGAAAAGAGCCCATCAAACTGTCCCGACCCAAGTTTCGTGACATTTTTAACGCCGATCGAGTAGTCATATACTATTGCGTGCTTTTGGCCTATGTTTTTCAAGCTCTACTTGCCTCATATTAATAGCAAAATCATAACTAAACAATAATAGTGTGCATACTTTAGCGATGACGTAAACGTATAAGTATGTCGGAATTGGTAAATATATTTATAATTAATTCCTCATTAGTACATAGCTTCTATTGGCTTCAATACAATGTTTGACCTAGATTTGCGTGTTCTGCAGTTTTCCAACTTACATCAGTGCTAATCTGTTGAAGGCAAAGACAGTACATCTTCTATTACAAGAAGTATTTAACTAAGTAATATTAGGTGGGCGGAAAAGTTCGTACTAACATTTTTTTTAAATATAATTTGTTTTGAATGCTTTCGAGAGCGATACAACGATTATAGCGATCATACAATTTTTCGATAGCATTTTTATAGTACGATTTGTCTTTAGCCTTAAAATTAGCTTCAGTTTCAGCGATAAGGTACTTCTTCATCAGCGCAGAATTGTCCAGCCATTCTCTTGAGGTCTGAGTACCAAAGAAATGGGGGCCAAATCTAGAGGATACGTTGGATGCGAAAGCAATTCAAAGCCCAATTCATGGAATTTTGCCATCGTTTTCAATGATTTAAGATTCTTCTTATGGTAAAGATTGAAAAATAGAACTCCAACTTAAAAATAATTCTCCTCAATTTGCCGCCTTTGGGTAGACTTGAACTCTTGGATACAAAGACAGGATGAAACCCCGTGTCGAATGCGACAAAAACCAATTTCTTTAATCTGCAGTAAAGGACGATCAGAGCCTTAGCGTGCGACTCTCATCCCCGAGGGCGTAGGTTCGATCTCGGGCTGTGCACCAATGGACTTTCTTTCTATGTGCGCATTTAACATTCGCTCGAACTGTGAAGGAAAACCTCGTGAGGACACAGGCTTGCATTAGACCCAAAAACTCAACGGCGTGTGTCAGGCACATAAGGCTGATTACTTGCCAAATGATCATAAAACAGACACAGAAATATGAGGCCCAGACCTAAAAAGGTTGTAGCGCCATTGATTTATTTATTTTATATAATATTTATGGTTTCTAAGATGTCATTTCCCATGTCTTTGTACCGATTCAGGAAATAAACCGCGAACCACGATCTTCTTTCTTCATTTTTTGCTTCTTATAGTGCCATCTCCTTTCGAAGGTTGGCGATCATCGATCATCATAACTTTGATTTTGGATGCCGCGCTTCTAAACAATGACTTGGTGCTTTGACCAAACCATTGTCTAAGGTTTTTCAACCAAGACGTGCGTGCCTTGTATGATTAGTTGAAGGTTCTTTTTAGGTTCATTAAAAGCTATCATGGCTGTGTAACGTTTAAGGGTATTGCGACTGGGGAAGAGATGCTGCATCTGGCACAGCACACGTTTCAGGACTGATGTCCAACCTCCAGTAATGGGGTACCACCAAAAGAAGAAAGCTATAGTAAAATCTGTGGCCTTGCTAAACATGCCAGTGTAGGAATGTCTGCGTATAAAAATATTTGGCTCGCAATGAACGTTGCCGTGAAATCATAAATGCAAATATCGAGGCGGAAATTCCTCAACTTATGACTAGACGGTGGACAGACATTATGTCCAAAACAATATCAAGTGCTTTTTTCTAAAAAGGCCGTCAAGGTCAAGTGCTTTTTTAAAGGCCGGCAACGCACTCGCGAGCCCTCTGGCATTGAGAGTGTCCATGGGCGGCGGTATCACTTAACATCAGGTGAGCCTCCTGCCCGTTTGTCCCCCGTTCTATAAAAAAAATAAAAAAAATAAAACAAACAAAGGAAAATTTTATAAACAAAATCACGGAGTTTGTTCGCCGAAACGGCTCCAAGATTTATGAAGTGTCTTATGTATATGCTAGGTATAATAATTGTTACTGCTAGAAGATTAGGGTGTTCTTAGAACTCTCCCTGAAGTATTTCCGAACCAATTCGACTTAGGGCCCTTCAAAGACCTTACAAATTCTTAAAAGCCCTCTGGTATTGAGGGCGGCGGGTATCACTTATCATCAGGTCTTGCCCGTTTGCCACCTGTTCTATAAAACAAACTCTTACGAGGTACTGTTTTATGACTTTAATGACCCTATCGAGGTTGGAACTGCGGTACATATAGCTTTAAGAATTATTTGATAATGATAGTCGTCGAAGTACTTCCGAACCAATACGGTATAGATCAGAATCTAACCATTTCTAGAAGGCCAGCCTAGTGTGACGCTGTCCATGGGTGGCTGTATCACTTAACATCAGCCCGTTTTCTTCTGATAGCACTCGCGCACAAATAAACATTTAAATTTCCGAAAAACAAATAAATATTAAGTAACATGTTTACACATAATTATCAAATGATATCTAATATGAATTAGTAAATAAGGAATGTTATTAAAGTGACTAGTCATCAGAATGTTTTACAATTTTAAAAATATTCGTAAGCGGGTCAGAAATCTCAATGTGTTACGGTACAGTCAGCGAAATAATTGACGATTCTGGCACCTTTCAAAACGTCAGTTGTGATTGGTATAGAATTTTTTATGGCAAAGTATTCTAGCGCTTTTCGTATGGATATTGCTTATATCCGTGGAATCTACAAGATTGAACTAAATCGAAATTGCATACAAAACGTCGCGGTTGCAATTTAAAATTACAGAGCACCAGGCGACATACGAAAAGTTTGAGAATAATTTAGACAAATCAAGGAATAGTAACAATAACGAATGGTTAACCTAATAAGCAATATAATGACGACCAACCAGGCTCCAGAAGATTGTATTCGTTTTTACAACAAACTCCCAGGCGAAATTAGAGAATAATCATTGAATTAATTTATCGTTCGTTAAACGTCAATTAATCAATAAAACTTTTTATAAGTTTGACGACTATTTAAATGATCTAATCCTTGGGATTGAGTTGCTCCAGTTCAAACAATTTGTGTGACTAAAAACTTGGCGATTAAAAAGAGTGACGGAGCGTTTCTTGCAACTGTTTCCTACTTTGATAATTTTCTCACATAGACAAATAGGTGATCAGCCTATCATGACTTAGCTTTTCCTGTTAAATACGCAAAATAACTCCGAGCACACACGACAACGTTTGAGATCCGAACGTTAAAACGCTAACCTGCCATTTAATTTCATTAATTAAAACGGTCAAAAAAATATCAAAGAAAGGAATTTTTATAACATCTGCTGATCGTACATTTCGCATTCCATCGAAAATATTTCAGTTTAGCCAAAACAAAGTTGCTCAACGCGAAATAAAATTGTATATCGTAATGTCCACTATCAATTGATTTGTGATTAAGGACATTCCAAGCATAGCTGACATATTTTAAAAATTCCAGATAACACGGAATGTCACGGAATTTATGCCTCAAATGAACCGCTCCAGTAAGCTTAAAATTCCTTCGTATTATCCAAAGTAAATCGGGGCTTCATCCGCGTTTAATAGGCTATTTGACATTTGGAAAATAAAGTTATCAAGAATAACGTCACATTGTAATATTTAAATAATAATAAAAATGGTACAACCAGAAATTCTTGCAAGCCTTGCAAATCTTATAGTAGTGTGTTAGTGCGTGTAGTTTACCTTTTTTCCAATAAAAAAAGCATAGACAATAGACATACACGTAGCTACACCAAAATATTAAAGATTTATTTTTGTCGAGTTTATTTTTTCTTTCTTCAGGCATTTTAGTTCGAGGCATATATTTGGTGTAACAATCTTTCTATTCATACATTTTCTGTAAATTCGAATCATTTGGCGGTTTAAGAACGTGGCTATACTTGAACCAAGGGCGTCGCTAGGGCGGGGGTCAGGTGTTGTTAGGGAAACCAAAAAACCTTTTTTATATAATTCGTCAATTTACTTTTATCACTTTATACATATCATACTTTTCCCATCCTCTGGTACCTCTGGTCTACTGCCCCCCTTGACAATGGGCTGGCGAAGCCCATGGCGTTGAATCGTAAACCTCCTCCGTTTCTTTGGAATTCGGTTAAGTGTGACCCGTGATTGTAAGTCACGCTGATGTGGAATTTGGTACGTTAACCACAATAGAATTTTTCTCGCCTGACTGTATGCGCGTAAGCCGTCGGGTAATAAATAACTTTATTGTATTCACACAGAATTACTTTAGTATCTGTGGTATGCCGACCGCGATAATATTGAGAACGCTTTAGATTAATAGAATCAAATAGATAGGCAATTGTTTTTTTTTTACATCAAAGAGCGGCTTAAAATGTTTGAAATATTGTCTAGTGAAACGTGTTCTCTCATAATGATCAAACTGTTAATATAGCTTCTGTACTAACGACTCCCTTAATAATAAAAACTAATGTCGAATTGTACTATTTTAACTACAACTCTTTCATCTCTTTCTGTCAAAGAATGTTAACACTGCAACGAAAAGAGACATAAGTACTTTAGTTAAGGCGGTATAGTTTTGTTATCATACCAAGTGTGTAAAATGCATTTTCAAGCATAATCTAAAACAACGACTTATGTCACCAGTACTGGCAAGTACCAAAAGAAAGCCACATGGTGGGCGA